GGCTACACCCGGGGCGGAGTCCTAAGGGCTTCGGCCTGCGTCAGAGGGATTCCTGTGTAACACAAGCAGGGAAAAGGGCAGGAAGTGGGGGAAGGGTTGAGGAATTGCAGGCAGGAAAACTGGAGCTGAGTACCGACTCAGAAGAGACCAAGGCTGAGGAAACAAGGATTAAAACCCCTAAAAACCCTACAATAACAACCCCAAACCCCCCCCAAAGCCAGGACCTTTTCAATCCGTGTTGCAAGTAACTACCAGGCTGCTCTTTTCTTCCTTCTCGCTGCCCGGAGAGACCAGAGGAGCGAGCCCCACCTGGTTAACGACCAACAGGTACTCCTGGAGCTGCGTCAAGGTCCTGACACCCCGCTTCGCCCCAGCACGCTGAAGGGAAGCAGGGCCAGAGAAGAGGTAGATCAGATCCCATTTGGAAACGAGCCATGGGGAAAACTTCTTCTGCAAACACTCCGTTTAATGTTACAGTCTCTAATGGCCCCTGTTTGGTAAGCAGGTGATCAAAAAAATACAGAAAAAAAGCTTTATTTCTTGTTTCAAATATTACATGCACTTTCAAAAATTAAAACTCTTTATTTAAACATCTCAATAGCATCTTGTCAGTTTGGAGGCAGCAAAAGAATAACAGATATTTCAAAAAGCATTTACAAAAATACATTGCACAAAGTCCTATCTTGCTTTTTTAAAAATAAGTTAGTGTTATTCAAAATATTCCCAACCCTGGCTACCTAATTTCAATTTATACAGGATAATTCTAATTTTAAATATGTAACCTATAATACGAAAACACCTGTACACATGTAATCTAGCTCCTCTGTGTAGGCCATATGTTGCGTCTCTAGCTTGACTGTAAAAGAAGTTGTTCACACAGAGACTTTTTTTTTTAAACATTCCAGGACTGTTGTGCAACATACATAACTACTCAGAAAACCCGTCAGCAGTTCCACGCATTAACAGTTCACGGATAACTATAAAATGCATTATAACAGCAAGATAAAAATTCTGCATCCAAGTACATCTCAGGAAACTTTTCCAAAAAGAATCTTCAAAGTAGCAATCTAAAAGGAGGGAAATAAGTAGTTTAGTCTCATTCTACATGAAAAATGTTGCTTCTGAGTGCAAGACATCACTCTATAATCTTACACCCAACTGATATTCTTGGGGATGATCTAAAGAATGCCCATGTGTTCAACACAGCAGTACTGAGCAGAAATCCCTCTTGAAAGTGTGAAGTAGGAAGTATAATGAACCAGCCTAAGGAATTACTGTCCCACAGAGATCACCTCTGACAAATTAAGGTTGTTTAATTGCTGTATACCAATGTTTACTAAGCAATTTAGCAGGCTTATCAGTTCCGAGATCCAGTTATTATTCAAGGCCGATTTGGACTTTTTAACACTAGAGAACAAACTGGCCAAGTTGCTGTGGTAAAACCCCTTAAACTAACTTCAGTTAAAGTTATCCCTGACTTTTAGAGCAATTCATGGCCACAAATTACAGTAAAGCATTCCCAGTCACTGGTGTTTAAACTAGTTTTGGTTAACTTTCCCTGACAGTAATATTTAACATGTATCAAAGCAGCCCTTTTGGATCCACCAGAAAGGTCAAAACCAAGGGTCAAAGGACACCTTTAGCAACAGTCAGTGTTTAACATGGACCACAGGTTTTGGCGTATGGTGCCAAGTTAACAGAAGTATGCGGTTAAGTCCTGTATTTAAAACAAAGATTCCTAGTTGCAGAAAGTGTGATGTGTTCCTTTAAAAAACACAAACATTCATTAGTAATAAAATAGGTGTCACTCGTTTGCCAGCTGGGCATTATGAACCAGAGTGGTTTGCATGCATTACTTCTCTCAGCATGGACACAAAAATAAAGCTAACTTACAAGCTGAGCATTAGAGCAAGTAACTTTATTGTTAATACGGTTCTGCTAACAGTCTTCTGGCTTTATCAGAGGGTATCTGATAAAAAATATCTCCCATCCTTGTCCTTTAAAGATTCCAGTGTTCTAGGCTTTTCAGTATATGCAAATGGAGACCAAAATGTGCAACAACACAACCAACCCAAGCTGCAGTGCAGGAGATTACTCTGCAGGTTTCCCGTGCACTCTGAACCGATAAAGGCAAGTGTACTCCGCATGTCCCCAGTTCGAAAAAATTCTCAGCTCCACTATTTGGAATGCATCTTCACTCATCTCCTGCAGAAGGGAAAAGCAAAATGCAAACCAGCATTATGTTTCTGGGAGTCGATTCCTGCAACTACCAGCTTTGATTCATAACCACGTTACGCCTTGGGAACTTCTGACGCTTTGAAGAAAACTTTCCTTGTCTCACCACTGTTTCTTTGCGGGAGGAGTCAGAAGAAACATGAAGCGGACTCTTCATACTATTTGTGTCCAGATGGCACAAACCTTTCCACCCCTCTAATCTATTTAGACCATAGGTTTTGAGGGAGATCGGTAGATACCCTCTGCCTCGGGTTCTACAGTAGTGCCCAACAGGGGCCTACAAGGGAGCTGGGGGGGCCTCTGTACAAGGGCCTGTAGTGACGGGACAAGGGGTAACGGGTTTAAATTGGAAGTGGGAAGGTTTAGATTAGATATCAGGAAGGAATTCTTCCCAGAGAGGGTGGTGAAGTGCTGGGACAGGTTGCCCAGAGAAGCTGTGGGTGCCCCATCCCTGGATGTCTTCAAGGCCAGGCTGGATGTGGCTTGGAGCAACCTGGTCTAGTGGAAGGTGTCCCTGCCCATGGCAGGGGGTTGGAACTAGATGGGCTTTAAGGTCCCTTCCAACCCAAACCACTCTATGATTCTATGAACAGAGAATAATGCCTTTTTCCTTCACTGCTTACTGTGCACTACCACAGAAACTACGAAGTGTCAGGAGAAAGATACTCTAGTTTACTTAGACTTACCATCACTGGAAACATCTGCAGTGGTTCTCCTCCTTCATCATAGACATACTGTCCTAGAAGCTTGCCTTCTTCTTGATATTCATTATCTAGACCCTGCAACGACAGGGTAGATATTTTTGGTCCCGTCAAATTTGAAATCAAACCAGAACCAGAAGCATGTCTACATAACTGATTATCAACAGACAGCACTCAGAAGTCTATCAAACCCGGATATTTCCTGGATGTAACTTAATACTTCTCCAGGCACAGCTCTGAGTTTCGTGCGCTGCAAATGGCTGCACTATGTTTATGTGTTTTCATGGTCAAACCCCATAATTTCCAAGGCAAAACCCACTCTCACAGTGTACAATCTAAACTGCTCAGGACAAACAAGGAGGAAACTTATGAACAAGACTGAAGTCAAGAGTCCCACTTGCAGGTGACTGCTTAAGCACTTAAAAGAATGAACCAAAATTTCTCAGATATCGTAACTATACTCTGATGTAGCCTGTGACCCCGTGTTCTGCGATCACACCTACGCAACCGGGGCGCTAGTTAAAGTCAGCATAAACAAAGGCTTAAGGCACATCACAGGTAAGGTGAAGAGCCAACATGGGAGGGAAGGGGGAGGAGTGGAGGAAGGATGGAACAACTGGAGTGTATGAAAGTGCTATACCAAATGAAGAACCATCATCTCCCTCCAAAAATGTTTACTACTGTATAAAAGCAAGAGAAAAGAAACAACTCCCCCAAAAATCAGTCTGTAACACTTCTAGTTTCAAAGATCATTAAAAAAATATAAGCCATTTTAAGAGCAATGACAGGAATAGCCTCTTAGCTGTCCTCCCATATTTTCCAAGCTATGTAACACAAACATTCTTTATGCATACAAACATCAACTTAAGCCTTACATATACTGAAAAGGTCCTAGGAGCACTGGTGATACTTCCTTTTGGTGACAGTGTTTTTGGTATGTGTTCCATTACAAAGGCAGTTGGATAGATCTTCATCGAAAGTCTGACCACAAGATACCCCTGTGATCCTTTGAAAGCCCAGCAGTTTCCTGGATACACATCAGGCTAGACAAGAGGAAGGGGAGAGAACAGGATGGGACACAAGAACAATAACGAGTCAACCACAAGCATTTTGTAATACTTTCTTTGGTAATAAAGAGTTGTAATGAATTCTGATTTATTACTGGGGGTTGGAACTAGATGATCTTTAAGGTCCCTTCCAACCCAAACCATTCTATGATTCTATGATTAGGGACAGTCTTGGACAGTTAAGTGGCAGTTGACAAAAAATAATCTGTTCCTGAAGAGTTCTACTGAAGACAGCACAATCACCTGAACTACCAGCGGTGTTGTGAAGGCCCACCAGGAGATTACTACTCCACAGGAACCCCCCTAGTGCTCTTTCCAGAAGTCCAGTGCACCACCCAAGCCTCCTATAAGGGTCTTAATTTTGCTAGAGTAGTAGTTAAACAGTGAGTAGTAGTTAAACAGTGCCCAGGAACTACCAGAAGAATCCCACTCTTGGGAACATAACTGAAAAGTGCCCATGCCCCCCAGTATGTTACAGAAACATCCAGCATCCAAAAGACAATCCAAACTACTCAACACAAAATAACATAGCTGCATTTGTTTACTTGGATTTTAATTACCTGAATCACCACTCGGGGAGACTGAGAGAAGTACCACAGAGGAATTCCGAAGAGGCTAATTAATGCTGTTTTGGTCTCATAGCTTTCAGAACAGCGAGTACTCAGAATACTGCCACCTTTAGAGATATGTATCAGGTTAGCAGAAACCCATTTCTAGATTTTTTTAAGGCAGAGATTTGTACAAAGCTTAATGAATACACCTGTTATTTTCCCCAGAAGAGACTATTAAAGAAATTCTTAAAAGTATACTAATTTTCTGGGGATATAATGTTTCTATCAAGTACAACATGATTTTAAGAAACACAAAACCTTTAATATGTGAAGAGGACTGAAAGACACACATTTTTCCTTAAGGAGTTCAGTGGGGTGCACACCCCACAAACAGGTCTGTAGTTTCCTATTACACAATTGCAGGTGCTTAGAACTATTCCGTCCCTGTCCATGCATACCCAGGCTGATAGATAACCCTGTAAACACACAGACCACAGTAGTCTGATCATCAGGCAACACACAAGGATGCTCTACTAAACTTTAGTCTTCATTTTAAGATTTTTAGTAAATACTGTAAGTAACATTAATAGTAGAGGAAACACCATTTTTACTATTTACCTCCAGATTCCAAGGCGAAATCTACCATACCAGTCTTGTCTTGAGAGTAGAGTTTCAGGGCATTGTTTACAATAATCTGTGCTTGCTACAGATGTACACGTAGAAGAATAGAAAGAGAAAGTTTTTAATAATATCAAGCGATAAAATAATGGGTATATACACATCTGTCAAGTTGCAAGCATCTTTGAGATGCTGCACTCCCTCACAAGTCTTAGTAAACCTATCAAGACACACCTTTTTAAATGGATGGTCACCTGTCTCAAAATAAAAATTCATACTGCAGCTTGACTGGTGTTTTCTTTAAAAGCTGCATTCTTTCACCCAGCTGCATTTCTTTGGTATACTAGTTTCTTGGGATTCTTTCAAGACTTTGAAAAACACACCAGTGTTCACAACACACACCACTACGGATGCACTTAATAAAGCCTTTTCTGTAGTTCTCCCCTTTTTAATTAATGTCCCCAACATCTCTGAAAATCATTAACATTAATATACAGTCACACTCTACAGTTTCAGCTGAACTTCTGAGAACTCAAACTCACTCACCGCTTCTGTGATTCCAGAAATCCCTGCATTAGTCACAGCATTTGTTACTACTTCAGGTGTTAGCTTTTTGTTGGTAACAGACATATGGAGTGTAATATTCTTGAGGATCTGCAACTCTAGATTCCGCAACAAAGTCTGCAGATCACTTCTGCTTACAAAATTGGATGTAAGCCACTGGAGAAGCGATTCAGTAAAGCTGTCTTGTTGACCACCAAAGAGCAGTAGCTTGACAGATTCTTTGACCTGGGCATGTACCTAGTAGAAGCCATTACAACGGAAATTAGTCTTTATAAACCATGAAGTAATACTGCATATTTATATTACAAGAGTCACATGTGAGATCAATACATACATTCAATACTACACATCAGTAACTTTCATGTGTTTTAACTACACTGACTCAGACTGGAGTAACAGACCAGTCAGGTGTGCAGAAGAACACGTGGGAAACCTGGATGCTTCATCGGTTTGGTGAAGAGGACACGGAACCAAGCCCTAGCAAACTATGCAGCTTACATTAGTGGTCTAACACAACGGAGTAAGGAGAGTTGACTGTGACAGTTCAAAGGCGGCACTGTGGCAACTCTAAGGGGAGCAGAGTACTCATTAGGCCTAGTTAAGCAAGTCGTTTACTCACTCACAGTATGCTGCAATTCCACAACAGCCAGACCATATGAGCGTTCTCACAAGACAGTATTTTTATCCAAGTTGACAATCCTGTACCGATACTTCCTGTTGTATTTTGTTTGCTACATTCTAGTCAGATCTTACAAAAGGCTTCAAGTGAAATTAAGCATTTTTTTTTTTTAATAAACAACTCTCAGATAATAAGCCTAACTTGCTTCTACCTAAGTTTCTTTTCCACATTTACAGATGTAGTTTACTAACCCTTGGAAGGACAGCAAACTACTGTACAGAGAACTGCTACTGCCTCATCTCTTAATTGCAAAAATCTCTGCCACTGCAGATAAGCATGAACTCTTGTCTAGTAGAATGTTACACACTAATTCACAGTACCACTACATCAAACGCTACCATTCCTGAAGAAGCTACAGAACCTACTTTTTCATGAATGTCATCCATTTTCTCGTAACTCTTCTTCACGCTTTCCACAGTTAACAGCTCCGACTTCATCTGAGACAATGCCAGTTCTAGCTTTTTAATCTTGGTCAAGAGTTGTCCATGTTCATCATCATCTCTGATAAAACAAGGAGTCAACAGTTAGGAAAGTAGTTTGAATCATTCTATCAAATTCCAAAGGTGTGAGATGTACTTGTCTCATACAAAGTGCTTTCCCAGTTCAGTTATTCACCGTGACAGAAGCCGTGAGCTTGCAGATACCTGAAGATGTTATTTAAGACACACTTTGGATTAATGTATTCAAGGTATTTTGAAGTTATGAACAAATCCAGCAGCCACAACTTTAGAACATCATCAGGCTGACAAGTTAATAACTCAAACATATATAGATTTTGGGGAATTTAAGGTTTCTGGAAAGCCAGTCAAACTTTATTTGCACGAGTTTGCCACTGCTTAGAGCGAGTTTCTGGTTGCCTTACTTAAACCACAGTAACTTTAGAGGCAGGTATCAAGTTGAGCTTCAGCAGCAGGTCACGTATGACCAATACAGATCATGGTCAGTGCGTATTATGGAAAAAAAATTATCAGCCATTTTACATTTTTATCCCATTTAAATGACAATTCAGCAACTAAGTGTTTGTTTTGCTCTTCCCAATCGGGAAACTACTTAATGAAGTGCTGTGTTTTTATGCTGGTATTACACAGTACCTTAGTGGAAAGTAGTACTGCTGAGAAACCAAACACAGACAAAAATTAGAACTGATACGATTCAAGAATTTCAATATAATGCCTATCTAAAGCAATTACTGTACATTTCAGTAAGCAGTTTCAGGAAAAAATGCTAATGCATTTATAAGAGGATGAGAAGTCACTCATTCTCCTCCACTGTATCAACAGCTTTCTCTAGTAAAAAATGTAGTTCTAGGATTGCTGACACACTGGAAGTGGGCCTTGTGCTGATGATGTTCAGCATCACAGCTGAAGTCTGCTGTAAGACAGAAGTACTCTTGGTGACAATACAAACTCCTAAGGTCAGTTAACTGACACACATAGTGTAGTATTTCAAAGAACAACAACATGTATCACCATCAGTTTGCACAGACAGAAAAAAAAGTAGTTAAAAAATGCTTATACCTCACTGTTTTTGCTTTGGCTATGTCAAGATCCTTCTGCATGTCCTGAAAAAAATACAAAAGTTAGTTTTAACATACACAAAGAAAAAAAAAGTGACAGAAAGAGGATAAAGAATGTTAAGTGAAAATGAGGTTTTAGCACAACCTATGCAGGACTGTGTCCCCACACTTAATCTGTGCCGCTGTAAGATTTTATTCCATGTAGAACCTGCCTCACTGGTGAAGTGAATTGTTTTTTATCTTTGGACTGAAACCCCTCGCAAGAAGGGGGAGCAAGAACACAAACAGGTTTTGAGACTTAAGTAACTGTAATAGCTGGAGTAAAGCAAACTGGGTTTTGGGACAGCCAACAAAAACTTCGTCTGTTTTATCAATGGATCACAACTAGAGCAAGTTATCTTTGGAACTTGGAATACCTTGGATTCAGCAGACAGCTTTCCAAGAACATCTTCAAGAGTCAGAATGCGCAACTCATGTTGTTGATGCTTAGCCAGGAAGTCAGTCTTGAAAACCAAGGAAGAAAAAGGTGGTGTATTTTCTTTTCGAGTACAAATAGCATAATTGTTCTTTTCTACAAAGTGTAATTTTTATTTCATTCTGTGCATGCTTAAATGGTTTATCATGCAGGTAGTGTGAGAAATTATAGAATCTGTAATAAATATAAAGGCCTGATTCAGCAGTATTAGAAGATGCACACAGGGAAGTTTACCACAAACCCCCTTTGTTACTAGCTCTTCCCATAGTCTTCTCTCTCCGTATGAAAACAGGGTAAATCCAGCTGCTTTTCAGCAATTCAAGATTCTACTTTACACCACCTATCTGGAATTCTTTGTCAGCCATAACAAAGGAGGAAAAAATGCTAATGCCTACTACCTACCAGTTATTTCTGTAATAGAAAAAGAATCGTAAAGTCAAATTGCTAATAAACTGCATTATTAACATAATACCTGTTCAGTATCGGAAATAACCACCTATCTTACCTTTTCCTCCAGTTCCATTTCTTTAATATGTTGTCCTATCACATTTTTTATTAGCTTTAATATTTCACTTTTGTCGCTCATCTGGGCAACCTCATCTTGAAGATTACGGAGTAGAAGCATCACTTTGCTATAGTCTTCACTATGGTGACGCCATCTGTCTGACAGGAAGGCCATTTGCTTTTCCAGCTCACTTATACGACCGGAATCAAAGACATTCATGGTATCCTAATGTAAAAAGATTTTTTTAATACATAAAAATCAAGACAATTATTTACATCACCCTTGTGTATCAAGCAGTTATTGCAAAATATTGAAGACGTAAGACTTAAGAAGTCTTTAAAAGACACAAACGTTCTTCCCTAGACTGTTCTCCCTTACCTTTGGAGGTTGCACAGAGTGAAATGAATCAGCCTGTGGTTCAGGAACACTGACGAAGTCATCTGTTTTCTGTATTCTATCAATTCTTGTCCAGTTCAGTGAAGGCAATGATGAAATTAAGCCATCAAACCCCCAGAACCATATACCTAAATCAGAAACAAAAAGCAAAAAGGGTGCTCAAGAGTATTCTCCCTTAAGACTGATTGTATCTACAAATAGTCTGACTTAAGGACACAAGCTACCTCATGTTTGCAAGGTAGATGTCACACAGTGGACACTACTCCGTTCTAAAGACACTCAATTTTCAAGCTGGCTCACGCCGAGAAGTCAAGCACTCAAGAATATTAGGGGACATCCATTAGTACCACTCACACAATTGTAAGGCAGGCAACTTGTGCTTATATATCATGATATATGCTTAATCTCATACTACTGCTTCCCAGGGACCTAGATCTCATTTATTAAGACAGGCTCACTGAAGTCAGTTGTAAATACTGCTTTTTATCTCAATACAAAATATCTTGCCTTATATCCTACTCCCTATATACCATGTTGTTTCCATGGAAGCCTGAGTTTCTCCAACTTTTATTAGACATTATGCAATCTAGCATTTCACAGAGTTCACATATTTTTGCAGTATCTTAGTGGGAAGTAGCAGCACTTTCTACACAGGGTAACTTCTTCCTCTTATTCTCCCTACTACAGGGAATTTTGAATCCCCACTGTAAATGTCTGAGAAGCTTCATTTTCTCCCCAACATAGCTGTAAGTTTTTTTTAGGACATGCAAAGACACAAAACTGCTTTTCAGAAATGGCACAGCACTTTCAGTAAATATTTTGTATTGACTTTGTTTATTTCAAATCGGAAAACTGCCCTGGAATACTCTGAACTAACCAGTCTAAACAGCAGTATTTAGACTGAAGCATGGCCTAGAGAAAAAATGAAATATTTTGGAAGAGTTGGTAAAAGAACCTAACCACACTTCTATGGAGATTGACAACAAAGTGATCAGTATGCAACCTACTCCTTATGAGCTCACTACATCCCTTCACAGGAACGGCGAGGAAAAAAAAACCAAACTTCAGTGCATTTACTTATTCACCCCCTCTGTCGAGAGAGCGCTATGAAATTAAATTAAGGGTATTCTTTCACAGTAAGGGGAAAGCTCACTGGCTTGTCAGTACTTTGAAAGCTTGAGTTACTGCCCTGTTCACAAACTTGCTCTTTTTTGCTTCTACATCTTCTTCATAAACCAAAAGTTCAAGGAAGCAAGTTATTTTGAAAGAGCTATAGTAAGCACACACCAATTTGTATTGTAACTAAAGAATTCACTTACCTAGTAGAAACAGGAGTGGGATAAGAAACAGTAACAGCTTATAAGTCTTTGGAAGGCATCTGGAGAAAGAGAGAGGAAGGTTTACCAGAAATGATAAATGTATCATTTTTATTGTTTTATATTATAACTGGGTAAAAAATTTGCTCACTATTTTTTCAAAGGATACACACCTTCTAAGAAGAAACACCTTGAGCAGAGACATCAGAGTAACAAGTTGATACCATCCAGTTCTAAGCAAGCGGGACATGCCAGAAGCTGCCCTCCCTAGAAGGGAAAAAGTCGCACTTTGAAATTTAATTACCGCAGCAAACGCTCAAAGAAACCAAGCAGAGGGACATGCAACTGTGGCCAAGAATACTTTGCACAGCAGAGAAACGCATAAGTCCAGGCAACGCATGCAGCTTATTAGCATCTAGTTATCACAAGTACGACAGCATTATAGCATCAGCTACTCAAAACCAAGTCATGCAGAAAGACGAAATGCTCGTTTGTTACAACAATGCTATCTTGCTGGAAATTCAGCATCAATGCTTGAATCCAAGTTACCACACATTGAAGACCTCAGTATGTTTGAAGAAACGCACAGATTAGCAGCCTCAGGTTTTTGCTAAGAGGAATACCATGACAGGAAGCGACTACCAAACCAAAACACACCCCATTATTCTTGACACCCCATATTCTATGCTATTCACACACTCATTCCCTCATGAATGAGTCTGGGTAGTTTCCCATTATGCCTGTGAACAGAAATATACCCTCCATTAAGCAGTTTTTGGTCAATAAGGAAAGTAGCACATGCATTTCAAGATACAAAATCTACAGCATCAAGCACAGCTGAATTAGTGTAAGCCACATACTGCAGATTCCTATTTTGTCAAAAGAAACAGGCAACACACAGATTGGGATAGTAACCTGGAGAAAGAATGGCCAGCCAAAGTAGAGACAACACCTTCTGAGACACAAGCCATCCCGTTGCTCCCACTGTTCGCAACACGTGAAGCATAAAGTAACCTAGATTATAATAAATTAACTCTATGTGGTAACATACATAAATGAGCTTAAGGTTCTTTAGCAGTACATGCAGTAAAACAGACTCAATCCCCTGCCCGTTACATGTTCTGCAAAGTTTTACACCATACCTTTCAGTAATCTACAAACTTGGTTCTTCACTATTTAAAAGCAAAGCAAGCCACTAAAATATCAAGTAAAACCAAGACAATTTAGAAAGAATTCTCACGTATCAAGATAAATGGAATGATCAACAGTATCTGCAGTTACACTATCACTTTTCCAAAATCAACAGAAAGTTTACAATAGGTAGCATGTTCATCTAACAGGATATCCAAGAATAGAGAATAGCAAAGAAGTACTACCATAAAACCAAGTTTTAAGATGATTTTAAAGTAGCTATGTGCTTATTTGTTCCAAATTATGCACTGAGTTCTTTATCTAGATTCATGTGTAGAAGAGGAGACAATTTTACATTTTAAATCCTAGTGAAAGAATTAATGATATTTACAAAATACTGACAAATAGAAAAGATGCCCTACTAAAAAGTTACAAGCAGTAAATTTTCATTAAATTGAATATTCCCAAGGATCTTCAGTACATCAGGTTTGAGTCTTAAAGTTAAGACGGACAAAACCAACGCACCGTAACAAAATGCTGTAACTTAAAGCCCACTGAAGCCAACAATTATTATATCCAAATCTGGGACTGTTCATTCTACAGAACTACAGAGTATACACTTAGAAGGTAATCGTACATTTTTAGATTAGCAGAAATGTCTGGGTTAATCTTAGGATTATAGATATACCAACCCAACGTTTGGCAAAGCATTTAGGTGACTGAAGTGTCTCAATCATTTTCCTTTGCTGAATAACGAGCACTCAACAGATTCTTGATGCCTTTGTGATTCAAGCTAGGGAATGCCCATCTCACAGGGAAGATTCTATCGCTATATAAAGATTCCTGTAAAAATTGACTATCACTAGAACAAAAATAAAATGTTAAAAATCCTTTATTCAAATAATCTGCATACCAATACCTCACACCTTGCTTTCACTTAAAGGCAGCTTTTCAACCTACCGAGCATACAGACTTCACCAAAGTCCAGTTAACACTCTGCCTTGCTCTTTCTAACACACAAGGTGCACGCTGTCCCTACACTTGTTCTTACTAACAGGTAAGCAGTCTGCCAAGCTTGTGCAAGAGCCAGTATCAGAGCAAGAAGTCCAACAGGAAAAGTGTAACTATTTTCTAGACACTGCACTTTTAATCTACTTGGATAGATGAAGGTAAAAAAACCCTAAACACAAAACAATACGTATGATTAACATTGAGAGTGCAATGCAAAATAAAAGCAAAAGAAAAAAGGTCCAAGTCAACCTGCATAAGAAAAGGTGTGCCAAATGGTCCTTGCTACCCTTTTAGCCCATGAGGACTGCATGTGGTCTGTGGTGTGTATCTCAAGATGTTTCTTCCCCTTACAGTCATCACCTGTTGGTTGTGGTAACAGACGATTAATGGGACAAGACCAGGCTCAAACCAAGGTAGTTACAAGATAACTGATACTATGAAATAGGCTTGTTCGAGTTATCAAACCAAAAACCACTAAGCAAACTTGAGTGGAATAAAACTCACTTGGGGAAACATTACAGTACATCAGGCAATCACTGCTCTCCCCCCTACATCTAAGTAACAAACCACATTTACTTTGTAGGTTCCAGAGTCATGAGGCATCTGACACTACTATTACAGTTACAACCTAGTGTACAGCCCAAGGCTAGAAGACAACATCAATTATACTTACATATTGATTCCTCATTTACACCAAGATGGCTATTTTCTCTGTAAAACTCCTTTACATTCATACTTCCACAGTAGTCTGAGTGAGCTGCAACACCTCAAAAAGCATACATGGAATGTAACTCAAGTTCAAAGCCTTTCATATAAGCACATTTTAGTTACCACATATGCAGATTTTAACTAAACTGGCTCCATTCACTATTAAAGCCAGATTATCCACAGGAAACCTGAGAAATTATCAAGGAAGAAGCCTACTCTGTGCAACATTGTTTTTGCTTCTTTTAAGTAAGAGTGGGCCTTTTGGTTCAAAAATCTTTCTGCTTCTTCTCAGATAGTAAAGTTAGTTAAAAAAAAAACCCACACAAACCCTCCTAAATAACAACTCAAATCTTGAGTCCCTAATTCCCATCATTCCATCAAATGGGCCAACTGTTACATCTTCGTGTTGAGTTTATCAGAAATCTTAAAAGACCGAAAAGAGAGCACGAGCAAGTTACAAGGCACTGAGGCACAGAGAACAGGAGAGAACAAAGATATAGTCTCACACAAAAACCCGTTACCTTCTGCCTATGGCAATTTAACTTCACTCGTAGAGCGTGTATTAGAGAAGACAAAGCACCATGGGAGAACCGAGTATTTTCAAGGAAAGCAAGATGTGCTTTAGAGCAGTGCAGAGTGATGATGGCAGATGTAGTTTTGCAAGACAGATCTAATCAAGCTTTAAGTGCACAGTGGGCTTAAGGGTAACAAGATATTCCAAACCTAAAGACATTGAAAAGTTAGTATTTGACACTATTACACAAAACAGTTCTTAAAAGTCAGCTGAAGTTTCTCAATTTAAACACTGCCTTCTACACTTCCTTTTAGAAAAATACCTATACACGAATCTTAACTGTAACATGGATGTCGCATCTGTTAATCTTGATGCTTCCAAAAAAGAGGGAGAGTATGAAGAGGATAGCACAACTGAGATAATTAAATAATAATAAAAAAGGGAGAAAGACAGAGGCCAGCCCAAAGACTGTAGAAAAAGAACACCATAGTGCCAAAGAAGCCGCCCGTAAGAAAGAAAAAAAACAAACAACACACACTCTGGCTTCGTGTGGAGACCAAGGAAGACAACTGAAAAGGTACCTTTAAATTCATAACCCAGCTTCGGCAAAACCATTTGAAACAGTTGCACTAACAGCGATGCAAAAGATGCTGCAGCATGTTTGACCAATCGCAGAATCTTACTCATGTAGAAATACATTCCTCCTATAGGAAAAAACAGTGTGAATACAAATTGTTCACCTACATAAAGACATAATCCTATTCTCTGGTGACCTTTAGCTTCTGGAATAGTGAGGATGAAGCATGGTAATCCTCTGTTTAGCCAGGAATATGAAGCAAGTGTGGTTTCAAAAGTCTGGATGCATTAGATCTTACAAAAGCTTTGCTGTAATAACTCCACATGCTAGGGAAAATGCTTTCAAGACAGAATGTATGGCTTCAGCAAGAATATCTTTTCTTAGTGAGAATTAAGAACTCTAAGTAGTAATGAATTCCTTGCTTACAGAACTCTGGGATTTCTCAGTGATGTGAACGGTTGATACTGGTTTTGTAGGTCACAGCTCCAAAGAGACAAACTACATTCATGGTAACTGAGGACTTGCAACAATCAAGAAATTCAAGGTGCTATGCAAGATGCAGGCAGACAGAGTCAAGACACTGGACAACCATCCTTGGAAAGGAACCTTATTTAAGGCAGATTCATTCGTTTGCAAGCTCTAGGAATGTACTCACTATTTGGAATCAATTTTTCCCTTTGAAGTTCAGTTTTTTGAAGAAGTTGAGGCTTAGCTTCTAAAAATAATAAGCTGCATGGTTAGGAGAAAAGACCCCACAGCAGAAAGTAAGAAGGTATCTGTCCGAAAACCCTGACCAAAACCTCAGTAGCACAGACACATATCAATCTGATACCAGATTAGGAGACTGATGATCATTGCTGGTTTGAACAGCCTATTGTGTTCTAAATCAGTTTGGAAGTATAACTTAAGATATCACTGCATTTTCCTTTTGAAATTGTTTCATTCCTACAGCAGCATGGAAAAAAAGGTGGCAATTATATATCACAAACTGACAAGTACATAAAGTTTCAACTGATATAGAAAGAGGTATTGCATATTAGCTGATCTCTACAATTTGGTTATTGGTAAATTTAGCAGAGTGATAAGAGTGCTTAAACAGCACTACATCAAAAATGCATCAACTGTGTATCATACTGCTACGCAGATAAGGCACGAGAGAAAGTAACTTACTAAACGCCTGTTTTTGGCTCCTGTCCCTGGAGTAAATTCTGGACGACGGCACGTGAGAAGCGGAGTACGCTGTAAGAACCTCCCTCCGTTCTGAAAGCATGCTGCAGTCACTGCAAGTGTAGCCATTGATGGTTGTAGCCTGAGTTCCTGCTGCTGTTATATTGCCATTTCCCTCCACCAGTGTAGTACCACGACCTAGCAAACCAGGAGTAAAACATGCAGTGCATTGACATCAGTACTGCCATCATTAGTTACCATTAACTAGAACGCATGTGGAAGGAAAAGGAAAGTGCAGTTACCTTCAGGGTCGTCTTCATCATCAAGACCTTCAAAGAAAGAAAGAAAAAAAATTGGTCCCAAATGTAAAGAAGTCTCATAATCAACTACGATATCTGACATGAACTGAAATTAAAAGTCTGCACAGAAAAAACTGTTTATGATTACTATTTAACATATTTTGCAGTCCACCACATGCATAGATCCGTATGTTCAGACATTAATGTACTAGGGTCAGAGTGAAAAGCATTCTACCACACAAGCAGCAGACAAAATCATATGAGTGACAGCTACACCTCTTCTTAGCTCCCATGTGACTTTTACAGCAGGTAACTACAAGCTTACACTGTTTCTGTTGCTTGGTAACTACTTTGGTACAACTGTATTTTAAGAACCTGTTTTAAGAGCCAGGTAACCTGAAGTTTAGAACACACACTATTAAGATAATTCCAATTCTTTACATTCTTTTAGGCATACTGACTAGAAACAAATAGTCTGCTCTTGTGAGACCCCACCTGCAGTTCTGCATTCAGCTGTGGAGCCCTCAACATCAAAGGACATCGACCAGTTGGAGTGAGTCCAGAGAAGGCCTCCAAGAGCTGGAGCCCCTCTGCTATGGGGACAGGCTGAGAGAATTCGGCTTATTCAGCCTGGAGCAGAGAAGGCTCCAGGAAGATGTTATAGCACCTTCCAGTACCTGGGGGGACTACAAGAAAGCTGGGAGGGGGACTTTTTACAAGGGCAGGGAGTGACGGAACAAGGGGTAACATGTTTAAATTGGAAGAGGGAGATTGAGATTGGACATCTGGAACAAATTCTTCCTGGAATGGCAGGGTAAAGTACTGGGACAGGTTGCCCAGAGAAGCTGTGGATGCCCCATCCCTGGAAGTGTTCAAGGCCAGGCTGGAGGAGGCTTGGAGCAACCTGGTCTAGTGGAAGGTGTCCCTGCCCATGGAAGGGAGGTTGGAACTAGATGGTCTTTAACATCCCTTCCAACCCAAACCAATCTGAATTGGGTGATAAAAGTTGATGATCTAGACTTTACATCTAAACAAAGTATTGTCTAGAACTCCTGTATTTTCCAGAAATGCATACTTGTATACACTTGCAAAACCAAACCAGCCAGCCACACACAGAAACCCTCTCAGGAAATCTTCAAGTGCCACTAATTTGAAACTTTCAGATCCAGGTATGTTAAGCTGAAACAGATTTCTGCCTACAAACATGAAAAGGCTTTTCCTTTGGCTTTTCAAAGACAGATTACATGTTTACCATCCTTTAAATACAGTACTCTATGCATGTTTTGAAGTAACGATAATAGACAATTACACCTCTGTAGTCTATAGTGTGGCACCACAAAATGGTGTGTGTTTGTCTGGCATATTAACTTCACTCTATCCATAAATCAAGTTTACACCGGACTGTGCTTTCCCAGTAGACATCCTAACAGGCAGACGTCTACAGCAAAAATGTAAGTAGGTGTACACATTTGGGGCAGGACAGAAAAATGGGTAGGGAAGAGAGAGAAGATGTGAACATATGTTTATACACACCAAGCCATAAGCAGTTTTCCCAGTTTGGTACAAACTATGGCAATCATTGCCTACCCCAAAAATTATCGATTTCTGTCTTCTCTCGAATCAAAGATTCATCCAGTACAGTGGATACCATCGATGCATCACTGGCGTGGCTATTGAAACTGCCTGAGCTGAGAATGGCAGAACTGGATAGATTTTTCCTTGGTGTGCTTCTTGCACTGCCAGACTGTTTATTCGTACTTTTGCGCTGCTTCACCACCCTAGGAAACAAAGCAAAGACAAATAAGACAGAGCATTAAAGATGCAAATTTCTCATTTTAAATGACAAAAAAACCCCAACAATAAAGGTATTTTAACACTGATGTGACTAGACAGCTCAAACCAGGTTTCTAATAAAATCCTCACATGCAAGCATCTGTACTTCATTGCAAACCACACACAGAACTTAATTTTCAAAGTGTGGCAGTAACCACTGAGAACAAAGAATACGATAGTAGGTAACCTATGTTTGCACTATCATGTTCGAACAGGAGATCTCAAGACTCCAACCAATTAATTAACTTGTGATGATAAAAACCCACTTACTTAGAAGACTGTTCTCTGAAGGACATGCTTCTGGAGTAAGAGCCATCATCAAGGGGATCATTTAGTGCAGCATCTGATTTATTAATTGCTGCAGCACCTAACCGTAAACTACGTCGTGACATTCTCGGTGAATCAAATACTGCATCTATTTTGTTTTCAGTCTCAAAATCCAAAGCAGATGAAGAATAACTGGAACTGCAACAAAATAAGAATAGCAAAGTTAGAGTTTAAGAGAAAATTTCCCTAGTAACAAATATGCCCCCCCAGCTACTTTAAGTTTCCATTAAAAGCAGTTTATGCAAGGTTAAGGAGCAATTCCGACAGCATATGCCATATAACCCAAATAACCGAGAAGTACGTAGATATTCAAGGTTCTCTGAAACAATTATATTACAAGTTTAACAACTGAAAGCAAGTCACAGTTAGAAAGAAACAACCTCCATGAAAACCATGTTTGAATTTGAGACAGAGCAAGCATTCCTTATACAGCTTCAGACACAGCTCTTTTTGGACCAACGTGAGAGAGGAAGCCAGCCATTCAGAAGCGTTTCTTCACAACGCATAGCGGCAAATTACAAATCATGATGTACTCCAAGCTGCAAGGTAAAAATTCATTTATAGTGAAAGGGGTGTTTTTGTTTGCCAAGTCCTTTGAGAACCAAAGATCCATATGCCACTCCACTCTGAATTTTCATCTCCCAACAAGCAGGAACTTCACCACTTTAGCTCCTTTAGTTTAACTACCATTACTTTAAAAAAGAGATTTCAAAAATTTTTAAAAGTAGCCCAGGAACTCCACACTTTGACACTTGATTCTCTCAGGACCTCTGTGAAAACTTACACTGAAGACAAAGCAGCAACAGGAGGCAAACACAAACAGATTAGACAGAGGAGTCAGTAAGAAATACATTTACTAAAGCAGAAGTTCAGGCTAAAGCAGAGTACTCATACTTATGATCAAAGGAAACATTCTGTTGCATTCCTGGGCAGAGCTTGTTTCTAGAGGGTACTGCACAGCAGAAGGCCAGGTTGTAGAACCACTCAGTGTTGTGACCCAAGGTATCTAAACACAAAGTGCTCTAGGCTGACCTTAAGGAGCCTGTCCCCTTCTGGGCCACAGGGATATAGAGCTGTAATAGCACTTATTTCAATATTCCTGGGGTTTTTGTTTGCTTTTGTTTAAAGAAGAGCTGAGCAAGGTATTATTAATGAAAGCAGTGACTTCTCCCCAAAATCCCTAAAACCAGCAGGCAAATTAGGTCTGAACAAGTAGATTCTACTGTGCAATCTCTATCTGAAATGGAATCTTTCCATTTAAAAAAAAAATAGGTATAAACAGCAACTGTAAAATGTTTTTGGGCAGAAACAATTAAATGGAAATAATTTTCTTACACAACCATTGAAGACCCCAGAACACTGAAGTCATAATATGATAATGTGTTGTAGAATCAAAGAATCATTTAGGTTGGAAGAGACCTTTAAGATCATTAAGTCCAACCATTAACCCAGCACTGCCAAGTCCACCACTAAGCCCTATCCCTGGGCACCATATCTACACCTCTTTAACACCTTCAGGCATGGTACCTCCACCACCTCCCTGGGCAGCCTGTTTCAGTGCCTGACCACCTCTTCAGTGAAGAAATTTTTCCTCACGTCCAATCTAAACCTCCCCTGGCCCACCTTGAGGCCATTTCTTCTTGTCCTATTGCTTGATACTTGGGCGAAGAGATTAACCCCCACCTCTTTGCACCCTCCTTTCAGGTGGTTGTAGAGAGTGATAAGGTCTCCCCTGAGCCTCCTTGCATTACCCTTGGGCATACAAGGCAGTTACCATCAGAAGGCCTGGCAGCTACACTTAGAGTAGTGATTTAATTCTAACAAGGTGGGTGCTTCAGAAGTGAGTTTCTTGATTGCTCCACAATGCAAAGTAAAGCACATGTGCTATGACACAGCTCCATCTCATGAACTGCATTTCTTCCAGCTAAAAACCAAACCCAACAATAACAAAAAACTTAACCCTGACAGTGCATGGCAAGAAAGTACCTAGGAGCCCCAGCAGCAAATGGGCAGTCAGCCCACAGAACCAGATCAGGTCTTGTCCAAATTAATTTTTTCCATCACCCAGAGGTGGCACAGATTTGATGGCATGTCTTCAGCACCATGTGCTTGATCTTACTGGTCTGCCCTGCTAACGCTGCCACGTGCAACCCTGTGCAAGGCTGAAGGCTACGCACAGCTTAGAACAAACCCAGCACGCATTACTACATACAGTATGCTCGTTAATCCTTGCTCACATTTGGGTGGAAGGGGGAGAGGAATCAAGACAGGAGCCTCCTTGTGAGAAACCAGATTTAGTCTACGTTCTATTAGGTACAAAAAGATAGAAGTTTTACAGTGTTCGAAAACGTTCAGACAGACTGCGTTCTGACAGATGTGAAGTGAGAATACGGGCTAAATACGGCTCTTCCTGTTGTTCATTCTGAAAGGGTCAGAGCCACAATAGTTTACTGAGTCCCTCCCTAAACAGTTGTTTCACAACTCAGTTTCGCTATTTACACTTGCCACTACGCATTTGTTTTTTCTCATGTTCACCCCATGTTTCTTACAGACACCCAATTCACATGAACACAAAGTACACAGGACAAGCTGACAGCTGTGACCAGCCTCAACTTGTTTCTGTGTACAAACACGTGCTGTTATTAAGTATCTCAATGAGCGTTTATATCAGTTTGGGTGGAATACATAGCTTGGAATTGGGCTTTATCTTAAAAATATATTTTTTTTCCTCTTTAAACAAAAAGAATGCTTCTCTTGCTTATGCGGGATAATAATTCTCTTCACACTGAAAGTGAATTCTCTCTCCTCTGTCAGCAGGACAGTCTCTACAAGTCTCCCAGTTTGGCATCTTGCTCTTCATGCTTTGGAAAGCAGCCTTTTTCCTTCTACAGGAAAGACTACAGTAAACAAGAACCTCCTGCCTTTCCTTTCACAGGGCAGAAATGAACCTGTACACTGATGGTACTCTATCCAATAGGTATGGCTAGCAAAAAAGCCTATTAAAGGTGGGATGCAATCAGCCTACACTCAGATAACCTACACAAACAGCACAGACTCTGCTTCCTTCCCCTGACAGGCAGCTCCCGTGGCTCTGGCAGATCTGCTGACTGTATCTAGTCTTACATTTCCAGCTTCTTCTCTATTACCCTGATATCTCCTCCACATGAGCTTCTACAGAATAAGAAGGTCCTAGATTTCAGTGGGTTAATTTTCAAGTTTGTTGGTAAGTGGAATGAGAATGAGGTTTGCCAATTTTAGCACACCTTTAGCTTTGTCTGGAGAACTTTCAATGTCCCTTATTTCGTACGTATTCCTTGGAATGAAATGGGCAGTAACGTTCTTGATTATTCACAGTAATAGTAAATAAATGCGATACATCTAGAGAGCTATAGCTAAACAGACATCTTCCAACATGGACGCAGGCATATAATCAGCGTACGAATGTTCACATGCTTTCTGACGAGGGCACTGCTTATATGAACTGACCAGTTGTTTAGCTATTGCTTCGACCAGTCCCGGATCACACGTAAAACACACCTAAGGATTGTGCAGAAAGGTAAAACGCTGATTTAATGCTCTGACACAAAAATATAAACCTAAATTGTAATCATTTTAATTTGTAAAAAAAAGCAGTGTTAAAAGTACTGAAATTTACAAAGCCAACAGCAACAGAAGATGAGGTGACTACAGGGAAGATCAGCCTGAAGAGGGGCGTGTAAATTACCCCTTGACAAGCAGGTGAGATTCATGAGTTTGATACAGCTAAATAGCTTTCATCCTCCTCAAAATGTAAGTCAGTTTAATGCTTTTCTGATTTGGGCTGGGGGAGTAAAGTGCTACAAACAGTTGTGAACACACAGTAATCTCAGTGAGTATTAATATCAACTCTATTAATAGGTCATAACCAACTCTATTAATAGCTATGTGGTGTCTAACTTCACTCTACTTTTCTGCAGTGCTACATGCACAAGCCAATTTCTTTAGGGAAACTCACAGGCAGGTTTTGTAGAGACTGAACTGTCAAAGGCAGAACAAGCCAAGTCGGAATATAAGCAAAACAAATGCACGCAGGGTGGGAGAAGAGAAGGAATGAACTTCAGCATAAAAATTATTGGTGATTAACAACTCTGCCTAACTTGCCCTTTTCTCAGATTCTTCAACTATCATTTGACCCAGGGTAGGGAGAGCTACATCGATAACGCATGGCGTTCTGCACAGATAGAGCAGGCAGGCAGGCACAGTGAGTCTGCTCGAGGCTGTAGTTCACTCTCCTGACACCCTGAAAGCAGGCAGTGTACCAAGGAGTTTCCCCCCATTATTTTAATATTGGTGGCCTCACAGAATTTTTCAAGAGGAAATTTTAAAGAAAGTGCTTGCTAATCCTTCCTTTCCACACAAGGAAGTATCACAATGAATTTATTTCAGCCTGGTTTAGCTGTATCTCCTTCATTGAGTCAGTTATTAAACTTCAGCATATCCTGCTCTACCCATTTCTGAACATCAATATCCAACATAGCTTAACACAGCAAAACTGGAGGCTGAAACATTTCAAGATGTGTAACCCTCCCCTTCTGTGAGGGCCTCTTCACAAGGTCTGTTCTGCAAAATGACAACCTTCACTTATGTAGGAAGTCAAACACTCCACCTGCCTTCTGCACAAAACCCAAAGCTGTAGTGAACTACACTCCAGATTTCAGATAGGATTTATCATTCTGTCCCTTCCTTTCCTGGCAGGTTAGTCTGCTCCCGTGGTATTCTTACTTGCTTCACTGAGAAACAAAACTCCTATCCTACAAAATAGCGGGCAAGAAGAACCACCCAGCTCAGAAGGGCTTTCACCCCAGATTAGTTTAAACAAGCCGTTAAAACTTTAGATTACTTCACCAATGCTCTTGGAAATACACATAATAGAAAAGACTTAATTTCTTAAGTTAATATTAAGACCTACTTAGTGCCTCTTGTCCGCAAGAAAGATTAGTTGCTGTGGAGATTGTACAGTAGAACATACTGGTATCATTTCAGACAAATATCACAACTAAGGAAATCAAGTTAGATGACAATGTCACAGCTTGTTTTAAGAAAGATATGCTCACAGTGACATGAAAACCACTGTCTAAACAACCCGAAGAATCAAAGCTTACTTTCATTGCTCACAATAGGGAAAGTTATCCTCTGTGAAGGAGTTGGAGATTGGCTGAAGTATTTAAGGTGCATTTGCCACGCAGAGCTATCTAAAACCACTTAGTAATACAACAGTGAATCTCCTTGCTGATAAGGAGCACAAATCATCTTTCACTGTCCAGCATGGCTTTTTCTGAAATTAGTAAACCCACTTGTGTTTCATCAAATTCTACCGATGTTTTCCTAAAAAATTCAGGAAGAGCTGCAATTTAATTGATGCAACATAAAACTCACCCCATTTTGCAACACTGACATCAGGCTATAACTAAACAGTCGCATGACCCCCAAGGAAAACTGGTGACACTACAGTTTTAGAGTACACAAAAGCAAGAATATTCAAATTAGCAATCTCTTAATTCTACAGTTTTGCCAACTTCTGCTTTATTGCAAGTAGCCAAGTATTGCCCAACCCAAATATTGTATTTTAATACAAATTAAACACATAATAATGATCCACAGGCACAGAACAGAACGGCAATCTCCTACTGCATCCTAACAAACAGGGTTTTTTTAAAACTTAAAATTAGCTAAACCATTAACTGAGGCACACTGATGCTTCAAAATACATCTACTGACTCAACAAGAGGAAAAGACATCGATTAAATCAGCAGTCACAATCTGCTCTATGAACATTAAAAAAAACCCCACAAATGGTCATCACAACATTTTGAATGCATAATGCAAAACCCCACAAACACACTACAGAGTTATTTTCTGAAAGCTCTTCAGTTTTCTAAAAAAGAGTTTCATAATGGTCAGCTTCATAAAAAGACACAAGAAAAAACAGGCTCATTAGAAAACCGATTTCACGTTCCCACAACAAGCAGTTTTGCTAAAAGCCACATGACTTCCAGCCCAGTTCCACACCAGCAGCAGTGGGCGCACGTCAACCAGCATTTTATTGTGAAAATGGGGCCAAGACGCAGAAGAACACACACATAGAAGTTACAAGCAGAAAACATCTACGAATTTTGATGACGTAGTTATAGAAACGAAGGAGCAGTTGTAACTAGGCGGAGACTAGTTATTCATAGCAACCAATAAACATTGAGTCATTAGTCACTGTCCTGTTAGTTCAACAAGTATTCTTTCCTCCATTTAGGACAAAGCTATTTTTACAACAGACTGGATAAAGCATGCTTCCTCAAAGAAGTCAGCTACTTACCATGACACCTAAACTCTCCAGAATTAACAACATTCAGAGAACAGATAGTTTCTCTACAAGAAGAAAAGGGTTCTCACCTGAGTGCATATGTATAGCCAGTGTTCTCTGGCAGACACTGGGGAGGAGTGTACGTGTGTAGACGTGAAAAGTCCATGTTGAGTGTTTCAAATCATACTGTAAAGGTGAAAATAAAGTATTGCAATGACAAAATTACGTAAAGTCAACGTAAAAGCCCTTGCGCTGTTCAGCCTGTGTTATGAAGGACCGAAATATAAAAGCTACTGTTACCAGAAATAGGGAGCTCTCAGTATTTCCGCAGCATTGCTGCTAGTGCTAGATACCCCTGCATGAAGCTCAGCCTACTTCTGACCACAACTTCCTTTATGATACTCTTTTCCATCAATTTCTGAGTTCTCTGGAACATGGCTGTAATATGAGCCAAGCTCTTACCACAACTATACTACAACACTTCCACGGGAACGAAGTTACACTAACATCCCCAAAAGCTAAGCATAGGAGTGTAAGAACTACTCTGCCATCCTTTCAGAGATCTCCTCACAACGAGTTTTGCTTTGAAAGCCCTTTAGGCAAAGCACAGGCTATTCTGTGCACCAAAGTGTAACATGGATGAAACCTGAGAAAGCTTCTACATAGTCAAGTCATACAGACTTTGAACATCATCCACTAAGCAGCAACGGGGTTTCCTTCGTTTCACAAACTGAGTATTTGCTATCAGTTAACTTATTCTTGTCATATAAACACTGAAAACACAGCCTAGCAGAAGAGAGAACTGCACGATGACTCACATGGCTAGAATTAGGTGCATTTTCCAGAGTGCCATCCACTTCACACATATACAGTCCAAAAAAACCCACCACACCAAAAACTAAACCTAACCCACACTTGTAAAATTTGCCATGGGGTCTTTGAAAGGTATTCTAGATGTAGGAAGAAAATAAGAACTGATATTGTCGTATCAGGAAACTTGCAGAGCTGCTTGGGTGACTACTTGTGGTGTTATGTACAATTTGACTTTTAAATTCAAAATACCTGAAGAAAAACATAAATCTTGAGCCCTTCTCAGTTTTATTAGCCACATGAAAAGGTTTGCTTTTCTAGAAAAGCTTTGTTGATAATAGGTTATTTATGGTTAACAAATAGGGATTTGGCCATCAGAATCCTGGCTATTTTCAGATTACCTACAGCTCCTGTTTCAGCAGCAGTAAAAGATATTCTACACAATGGTGTAGACATGCCTAAGCCAAGGTAAAAATATCCCTGGCTACACTTCAGTTCTTATAATGAAAACATGAACAAGTATCTCACTTTGGAGATGCACTTTGCTATACTGAAATAAGAATTTCCATTTTGTATAGCAACACATTCATAAGGAATAAACCAAAAGCTCAGGTACAGGTAATAGCAGTTCAAGAAGAAATCTCTACATCTCATCTAACACCAAAATGCTCTTAAGACACTACCTGCAGCCTCCAAATCCTGAGGTCAATAAGGCAAGATATTTCCATTACTACTGAAGAGTTTCCTTCATGATATTAAAAAATCAAAACTTAGAGGCCTAAACTTTGTAGCTTTCTGAAAGCAAGCACCTCCCATGCACTCACGGGGTTAATGAAAAATAAGGTCTCTCACTCCTGCTATTTGTAATATTAAAAAACTGATGTGTAGAAGAAAGCATTTCCATTAAGTGATCTTTCTCTATACTTTCTTCACTTGTCCCAGAGCCATAATGCTTTCACCAGCCTGTATATGAAATCTGTTGTTTGTTTAGAGGAAGCTTAAATCAGTAGTGCGGAAGTATTAGCAGAGCAGTCTAATTCTCTTACTAGAATAAGCAGCAAATGCTGCTAGAATACACAACAACTGCTGCCATGCTTTACCAACAGGAGCTCATCTTAGAACACAGCAAACAAGGACGAGAGTAATTAATGATTCCTCAGTAATCAAAGTGGAAATACAGTGAATTTCAAGATGAGGGACGTTGATAACATCAGACAGCACTTGTTTTAAACAACAACAAAACAGGTTTCTTAGAACATATGACTACTGAAATTCACAACCATGCTTAAGGCTGATCAGTTTGAACTGGTCCATCCCAACAGAAAGATTTTTGAAGCCACAAGCCAGGGACACCTGTGGCTGGTTTCTGCCCGTGCTGATCTTGACTACTAAGCACACATTTCCTCAATAAACCTACTTTTTAACTGGCAACTCAGTAGCTGATATAATGCTTTTTACACCCAGCAATACTTTCCCTCATGGAAAGCCAGGCTATGCGAGGGAGCTCTCAGTAGCTAAGCAACTCCTCCTCTGCTACCCGTACGGGCAGGGCAAAGGCGGACTTTGAGAAACAACATATTGGCTACGCTTCTTTCCTGTTCTTTTCCCCTTTCCCACCAGTTCTCTATGTACTTGATTTCTAAAGAAATAAAATGCTAGGAATTACATCATATTTCTTGTTTTCTAAGATCTGAAATACATCATTACATTAGTATTAGATAAAATACGTGCTTGACAAAGGCACTGCTAACTGAAGAGCCTTGGAGGGATTTCTGCATAAGTCTGTTAATAGCTGGTGTTCGTGGCACCAAGATCTCCGGTGAGGGGAACAGGTTTGCCATTTCAATGCCACACAGAAATCACTCTTAGCAGATTCAGGGGCTTGGTTTGATTCACTGTTTGTCTGATGCTCTAAAATTAATTCAGACTTGACAGGGAAAACACCTTTACTCAAATTTTCAAAGCAACAAACCAGCTTTAACTGACTTCAGCAGAAATTGGAAATAATCTTCAGAGATAATCACTACAATTTTCAAAAACAAGCATCTAAATTTTACTATGAAACTGTTTTTTTTTAAATATGGCTACTAACTCAATAGCTTAATTTTAGTTATCCATTTCTTCAAAACAAAACCCCTGAAACACTCAACCAACCCAATTTATTTAGAAATATTCTCCATACTTATCACAGCAGAATTTTAAACTATGGAGCAGCTCAGGGGTGGGTGAAGCACAACAGCTCACTCTGATTTGTTCACCCATGTTTAACAGCACTCTACCTTTCCTATATTATTTCTTCATGTTTATGAAACTGTCATATACAACTATAAGAGAGACATGCTAATTTTGGGAATTTAAAACCACAAAACTTGGCAGAGAACTTGAGATGGGCATAGCACTCTGTTTCAGTTTAAACACTACTGGATGCCCAGCAGATTTCTCATTTAGGTACCACAGATCTGTCTGGACTCAGATTCATGTGGGCTTTTGGTGTTAGCTTTGCTGCAAACATTACTGGGCCCAAACTTTAAGTAGCTTTTTCATTCCTCTAAAGCCCATAAACATCTATTTCTAAGTACTAAGTGACGTGTAGTGAAAGAACTCGGCATGTAGCTGCATAAAAACCCCCACGTAATAACAGCACATTTAATAAACCAACCTAAAGGCAACTGCAGAGAAGCACACAGTTCAGCTAGAACGCAAGCGCACATTAGCATGTGCCTCAACCTACCAACTACCTCCCACAGCCCTGCAGGGAAGGCAGCTGGATTATTTGCTTTTTTGAAGCAGCAAACAACAGTCACCTCAAGTATCAGCAAAGGGGAGACCCTTTGCAATTCAGCTGAACCAGCGTGACAATGAATCGGCAGAGCAGAAGAGCAGGAGACAGAGATTCTGACCTGGCCGGAGCTCAAGGAAGCACAGGGACTCCTGTAAATCAGTGCCAGCAGCATTTACCTTCGCACAAAGCCCCCCGGCTGTGTCCACAGGATGTGGACTATTGAGGCATCTGAGCTGACAGGAGACCACACAACTACCTCATAAACCTGTTTATCTGAAAATTACTTTCAGGATCAGCCAGCCTCAACGAAACCACTGCAGCAAACTTCCTGGCTTTCATGGAAGGCGATAGATGCTGTGATAGTGGCCTTTAAGCACATCAGCGTGGCAAGAGGGGAAGCAGCACCAAACACACGCTGTATATACACTACACGCACGTGTCAAGAATGAACCCCCACTTACGTCTTTTAGGGGGCACAGACTTCCACCAACATAATACCTAGGCATTTCCTCACAAAAACCCTTTGTGACAAAGGAAGTGGTAAATAGACTTCCTATTACCTAGGAAGTGGCTATTTCACCAAGAAGCCTGTTACTGAATGAGAAAATCTGCAAGAAAGCATGTCTTATTTTTACATTACAAGGGTGAAAAAAGACACATATTTAAAGTCTGCGAGAGATGTTAGTAGTACGACTTCAAGTAGAACCTATTCTACCCTTATCTTTTAAAGTAACTAAACAAAATCAAAGTCATTATGACTTAACACGTGAATGCCACAAAAGCTGAACAGACTTTTGGGCAAATTATTAACAACAACGAAACTGGCCCATGCAACCCTTTCAGTTCCTGAGAGCAAGGTATTTTTATTTGCAATTTCAAATTTCATTTTCTACTATTATTCAGATTAACCAAAAGAATGACACCTTTTTGTAAAAGGTGTAAACATACTCCACGAAGCATGTTTCCACATACCCAATTAACTACTGGTTTAAACAGGCTGAAGGGCAAAGAGCTGCAAGATAAAGCAACATTTTATTAAGACGTACATTCTTAAAACGTTAGCATTCCTTTAAAACAAAGCCACAAAAGCAAACAAAAAGATCTCAAGTACTAAGATTCACTTGTAAAGCAGACGTTACCACTGAGTACGGACCCCCGAAGCGAGGTTCTTCGCAAAGCAGGAATACCACCGCCTGTTCACCGAGCACCCCTCGAGACGGCTGCCGAACGGA